TTTAGTGGTTTTACAGTGCATAGATAATTTTACCCACCTTCATTTATTTCACCATCTGATGCATTACTAGGTTCTGGGGAATGTTCCGGTGTGAGAGGTTCGAACAAATCTGATCTTTCAATGATCTCCTCCTCATCAGGAATTTCTCCAGGTTCATGAACATCATCATCAGAAGGCAAATGTATTGATTCCGGTGAACTGTCTGTTTTGGGATCCCCTGGGGGAGTCCTAGGACCTCTCCTTTCCCTTAGAGGAGGTATTGGTGGTGATTTAGGTCCATGGGATTCATTTGGTGGAGGTCGAGGTGGTGATGGGGGTCTTATTAGTCTCTTTGGGTCTCTAGGTCTATCTAGTTCCTCTATTTTTTGTTCAACATTAACTCGGTCTTCATATTTTGGTCTTTTAGCCCGTTCACTTTCAAACTCCCTCCTTTCCTGATAGATATTTTCTCTTTCTGACATGTCAAATGCTTTTGCTTCCACAACAGCTAAAACAAAACGAGTAGGTAAATAAAAATAAATATATGATATTGAAATGCATTACAGGACCAGGATTTTATTATTAACACAAGTATTGTACATAATTGTTCACCAACAAATATGTAGAAAACATCCATACCTATCTTTCTTTTACCAACAGTCTGTGGTGGTGGAGGGGGTGGTGGTGGAGAGGGTGGTATGTCATCTGCTGACTTGGCTACAGTTGTCAAGACACCATAAATAGCAACAGTTATAGAAGAATAGAGACCTCTCAGTATGACACCATCGGTGGGAATCTGAAATCAAATGTATACTTAGTTGTCAATAGTTTACAACAAGTACAGTGTACTGTATAACTAATAATAAAATAATATTTAGATGGCACTCATTAATTGTATAATTAAAATTAAAGATGCCAGAAAGCACTCCCCAGTGAACTGAATTCAATATTCTTCAATGTTTTACAGACACTACCAACACAATCATTTAAGCCTCAACCTCTGGCAGCATAGATAGGTTAATAAGCATTCTGAAAAGCAGTCCCCGATGTGTAATTAATTGTAAAGACATTTGATATAAAAGTGAATAATAAAAGTAATTTTGGTGTGCAATATAGAATATAACAGCAGGATAAAAACCTGTATCTCAAAAGTATTTTTTTCAATATTGAGATACACACGTAATGCATGTGACGATGAATGATATTACATTTATAGCAAGAAAAAAGCAACAGCAAAGCACACATGATTAATATAAATTCCTATTCATAATCATGTTGATTCATAAAATGACCAATTCACATACTTTATTTGTGTTCAATTTCAAAACTATGCACATTTAAGGTTAATTTAGCTCCTTGTCCTGTGCATAGTAAACATTTTTTACATTGCTATTTTATAGCTTCAAGAATGATGATATGATGATGCAGTACTTGAGTGACGTGGTTGACGGATTGAGTCAATCATCTTGAGTAGACTTTACAAATCAAAAGTGACATACATCACAACTTCCAGGAATGGTTACTCCTTTCACCAAGTTTTAGGAATTGGATAACATATGCCCAAGGTTCTGTCAAAAAACCTGATTTTAGCATTATTTTTGATTATATAACAAAAATAGTGTACTGTGAAATAGTTTATTTTCGCTGGAATTAATTTTCGCTGAAAAGGCTTTTTGGGCCTTTTGCTTGGAAGTTATTTTCACTGATTTTAATGAGTTTAATGTGAAATATAGGAAAAAAAGTATATTCGCTGGATTTTATTTTCACGGATTCATCTCTTCAGCGAAAATAGCGAAAATAAATTCCAAGCGAAAATAAAGTATTCTACAGTATGTACCTGATTTTAGTGTTTTTTTAACAACTAAAATTGTCAGCAGTATGTGCATATGTTTGACTTGATGAACTGTCTATATAAAAATACTGACGTTATTTGCTCAAAGCATGTACAAGATATGCAGTGTTCTCCCAAGGACTTTGGTTAAAGATGGTGGTTAATTTGCATAATAATTAGCATATGATTTACATAATAAAATATCTCTTGGCATAGTGGAAACTGATAGTTGCGTCGATCGTAAATGATCATGACAGCTTGTGTGTCACCTCCTCAATTAATACGGTTCTACCCAGAATGCAGTATTTCAGTAGTCTCGACATAGAGTTTTGATTTCATTTACGATTTATTTTCAACATTACAATAATTTTTTCTTTGAACATTTTATTTTGACATCAGCTATTGCATGATCAGTGAATCACGTAAATAAACCAAAACTTTTAATAAGTAAACGACGATCCAAATAAATTTAGCTGCCTTTTGACTTCTGTTACGTTGGTTTTTGTTTAAGGATGCTGTACACGTTTTTGGTATTGATTTTCTAAACTGATATTTTCATATAAAATATTTACTGAACCACACAAAGCTATATATTGATGGAAAGCCTATTTCACATTGGATGTGAAATCGACAAGATAGTGTGTGTATGGACGTGTATAGTCACGTGATATGTGTGCATTTTATTGTAAAATTTTGAGAAATATTCTATATATTAATTTTATTTTATTTAAAATGACCCCAGCTTATGCATCATCTCCCCTGTGTACTTTTTGTAAAAAAAACAGATGAAACTTTACTACATTTATTTGTAGACTGCCAATATTCAAAGGAGCTTTGGGGTAAAGTATTTCATAACTGGGGCAAATTTTTAAATCTAAACAGTCTTCCAGATAAACATCAATTACTACTTGGGGATGGAAATTTTAGTACTATTACAAATCAGGTTATATTCAGTGTAGGAAATTTGTCCAGATTACATACCAGACATCAGGGCTGGTAACTTTCAGAAGTTACAAGCCCTGCTAAAATGTTACCAGTCCCGCACATTTTTTCAATTATTTTCGCACACACACACACAAATAAACACAAGTTGTATACAATATACTATGCACGGTTTATTTTAACAACAAAGTAGCTGTAGAGAACATGCATATTCAGAACATGATATATCAGACGTCTGTGTCACTGTTGCTCTCAGCTAGATCAGAAAAATCTGAACCATAGTCAGAATCTAATCCAGCTACCAAATGAGCATCACCATCTGTTTCAGCTTCTGCAACTTCCTCCTCATCAAGTGTATCAGCAGCTCTCAGCTGCTCTACTGCTTCATCTACTGCCTGTATAGCACTCAACTTCTTTCTCCTCTGTCCTTCCATAAAACTTGGTTTTCGGTGGTGATGCCGATTCCATTGATCTCTTTTCGTACTTAGGGAGTTTGTCTGGTATTTTGCGGTTTGATAACGGCTCGTAAATAGCCCAGCAGATACGGCAATACACGGGTGTCATCGGTGACCAGCCATTCTTTGAACTCCGTCTTCCAGCTTGGAACTATTTTGCGAGTACGTTTTGACTGGTCATACTCCTTATTTGCCGCAATTCTATCGATGCTCGACTTCTGTTTCTTTGTTGGAGGGTCTATCCCCAAAAAACAATACATGTTGTACGCAAAATGAAAACTTTGTAAACAAACTACGCAACGATAGAACTGGTCAGGGGTCACCGGAAGTGTCACAGCACCATGGGAGATAGGACCTGACCCGAGGTCACGTACCTATTATTATGTTAATAAGTCAATGGATTCTGTGTTGTGGGTTGAGAATGAGTGTCGGCAATTCGCGATGTGCGACGGCAATGCAATATTTTCATAGTTTTGGCTGATCACGTTTCTGTTTAAAATGTTTAGAGCACATATAAAGAATGGTAGCTTGTTTTTATTTTAATTTGGGCGGAAGAATGTGGTAACATGTTACCCGACCACCGGACAGGGAAGTTTGAAATTCAACCAGTCCGATACGAAAGTTACCCGTCTCGGGCGTGCGGACGGGCAGGAATTTCCTACACTGTTATATTACTTGCTAAACGGGCTATATACACTGCTAGGTGTCAAGATACCTTACCCAGTTTCATAGTATTAAAACATTTAGTGTTGAATATTTATAAAATTGAAAAATATATTGCAACTCGTAAAAATATTATGGAGCATCATGTTAATAAATGGAGTGATTTTCCAATCGAATAAGTCAAATTTTATGTTCTTTACCTTACTCTGATAATTTGTTGTATTTGTGATTGTGTTGTACTTTTAGTTCTATTGTATAAAAAAAAAAAATAGTCTCTGCAAAAAAAAAAACAAGCAGCCTGTCGGCTGAGATAGCTCCGCTGTTAGCAATGCACATGGGAATTAAAGAACAGAAGATAACATTAGAAAATGAACAAATCTGAGAGAGGTCCACATGTAGTACCTATATGTATAATATATCAAAGCAATTGGACTTGCGGTTTTCAACAAGAAGTCGAAAATATCACTTTTTACCAAAAA